GGGATGGGGATGGGGATGGGATGGAGCCCGGGCAGGGCAGCAGCCCATGGAAACTTCCAGCACCTGCAGTAACTCCTGGGGGTGGGAAGATGGGGGGGGCTGGCAGGGACCCCTGGGCCCACCAGGGCCAAGCCTGGAGCTGCCCGGGATCCCACCCTGGACACCTCCATGACCGGAGGCTCCCCCAGCCTCGGGACTGCCCATGTCCTGAGCACCGACTCCTCCTCTCCGTGGGGCCCATGTCCCACCCCAGCCCCGGGACACCCCATCCAGGGGCACCTCCCATCCCAAGGGACCCCTCCCACGCTCCCTGGTGTCCCCTCAGGTACCGACCCCCCGAGGCTCCAGTGTCACCCCGGGGTGCTGAGCTGTGGGATGAGGGACCTTGTGCTGGATCCCACGGGATGCACGGGGGAAAAGGAGGTGTTGGCACCCCCCACCCCACTGGAGGCTGCTCCTCCCCAGCCCCAGGGGATGGTGCCCTCCACAGACCCCCTTCCATGGGAAGAGCCCCCACTCCCACACAGGCTCCATTCCCATCCCTGTGCTGGCAGCTCCGGATCAGGGACCCCCAGGCATCCATCCGGGTGGGCAAGGGGGGACCGAGGGTCTGGCCCCCCTCGGTGGGCAGAGCTCACAGGGAGGGTGGGGGTGCTGTGCCCTGGGCAGGGACACCCCGGCAGGGAGCGGTTCTGGAGCCTCCCCATCCCCCTCAGTGCCCAAATCCAGGAGCAGCCGAGCCCAGCGTGGGGGCAGAGCCACATCCCACCACATTCCTACAAACCTGCCTTGGATTTGGCTTCGGCAGCAGCGGAGGGTTGGATGAGGGGCAGCAGGGACTGACAGACAGGCAGACAGACAGGCAGACAGTGATGGCTCTTTGGCCTCCAGGGAGAAATCTGGCACCAACTCCCTCTGCTCCGGAAGAACCGGCGGCTGCTGCGAGTCCGTGTTTTCCTGGGAGAGTTACTCAAAATATTAAAGGTAAATTAAAAGATCTGGAATTGCAGCCAGTGTTTGGGGCATTTCCAGAACAAGTTGGTGTGAGTTCTGTCTGTCCATCCCGTGAGCTGGGGAGGGATCTGATCCCAAATCCCTTCCCTGCCCTGTTCAGTGATGGGAGTGGAGCTTGCTCATGTATCCCCCCTACTGTGGGGTCCCCAAAAACCGACGGGAGGGGCTTTGCTCCCCCACTGCTGCCTCCTGCTCCTGCCAGCGCCAGGCTTTGGCTGCCCGTGCCATGGGGAGCCCTCAGCTCAGTCCCACATCCCAGCTCATCCAGCTGGCAGGTCCTGGAGCCTCCCGGAGGCCATGGAATGGCCCCACACCAGCACCTTCCTCCCCTCATCCTGCACCCACAGGGGCACCACCGGGAGCAGGTGCCAGGCTGGGCTGTGGCCCTGGACCCCACGGGATGGACAGACAGACAGAGGCTGAGGGGAGGCACAGGTGGGCTCTGATTCCCACCTTCCCAGTTCCTTCCCATCAGCTGAGCTCTGGGAATCACCTCATCCCATCCCCAGTGATGATCCCCACGGACATCCCCCCTGGATAACAGGGGGGGCGATGGCAGGGGCAGGATGAGCCAGGGCAGGATGAGCCGGGGCAGGATGAGCCGGGGCAGGATGAGCCAGGCCAGCACTTCCCCAACAGCTTCTGTTCCTCCCATCGCCTCTCCCTGGGCTGCCTTTGCCTCCCTCCTCACCCGGGTACTGGAGATGCTCAAACCACCCTTTTCCTATTTTTAAAAAATAAACAACTATTGGAAAAGTGCAAAGAAAATGGAGAATTGAATCAAAGAGCCAGGACTGAGGTCGGTGGTTCCTGCCCCGGCTCAGGCACCGCTCCCCTCAGAGCTCTTCCCTCTCCCACAGCACCCTGGACGTTGAGCCTCATCCCAGGGCCGAGCCCGGCTCAGCCAGGCGAGGTTTTAGGGCTTTGCCCTTGATCAGGGCTGGCACCGCCCGGGCTGGCTCCGAGGTGACGAGCCCTGATGTGACACCGAGCGCTGGAGGAGCCGCAGCCGCGAGACTCGGCATCGACCTTCAGCCTCCCCCTGCTCAGCCCGAGAACATCCCACCCCTTCCTGCAGGGAGCAAATTCCCCCCCCCACGGATCCGTCACACGCCGAACCGCTCCCGACACCCGGCTGAGCCGAAAACTGCCGGAATTCCAAGTCCTCCGAGCAGGAGCCGCGTTTCGGATGGCACGAGCAGCTCGGGGGAGGACGCCGGAGGCACAAAGACCCGGATCCACAGGCTCTGCATGTCCCGTGCTGCTGGAGCCGGGATCTTCCCAAAAAACCCTCCCGACCTGCCCCGGGAGTGGTGCCTTTGGCTCTGCGGAGGCAGAGCTGGCTCGGGGAGGGGGCAGAGTCCCGGGGTCCGAGGGGTCCCTGGCTGTGCCCCAGCTCCTGCTCTCCCACACACGGCCATTCCCGAGCCACGGAGCCCCGTGGCTGCACAGGGAAAAGGTGGGAGAGGTTTAATAATCACCTGTCACAGCTCTGAGCTGCAAAGAGCGAGGAAAACCCTGAGGAAAGGGGGACCGAGAGGCTCCGGGGAGAAGAGACGGCGGGAGCTGCATCCCAAGGGTGTCCCAGGAATGAAGCACTGCATCCCAAGGGTGTCTCAGGAATGAAGCACTGCATCCC